TGTTGAAGGGCATTCCATTTGGCTTCCCTCTGGCTGCTCTCTTGAGAAAGAGAGAGCCATGAGGTGTGATCTGCAGTGGGTAGGGACAACCTGCAGGCTGTGCAGCACAGGTTGGAGGTGGGAAGGAATACAGTCAGAGGAACTTGGCCCAGAGTGATATTTCTGTGTTTAGACAAATGCAGTAAACAAATGCAGACTGTCTCATTATCATAGCCAGCACTGCAGGATCTTCAGAGCCGCTAAAGGATTTCTCATAGGTTACTTACTGAGGAAATTTGTCATTTCCTTCTCAGCTCTTTGATGGCAAAATTTTAATCCTTTTGAAAATTTCCCTCATACTTATTAAAAATCTATTAGAAATAAGCAGACAAATTCTTCATCCTTCCCACTTCACCAGTAAAACCTTAGGGCAAGGCTGCCCCTATTCTTACTTGCTGGGTTTTCCTCTGGTACCTTGTCCTGGGCCAAGAGCAGAGACCCCATTTTTCTAGGGTACTTGGTATCCTACCAGACCATCCAACACCTGGGAGGAAGATGTCTAAATGAACTCTAGGAGGCAGAAGCAGGATGTGGGGTGGTGGTGGGCAGTGGGAGGCAGGGCATAGAAGAGATTGGGACTATGAGCTAGTGAGAGAGATGAGAAAGGCAGACCAGTGGGCAAGAATCCCAGAACTGCAAAATAGAGAGAGGATGAAGCTGGAGAAAGAGGGCAGAAAAGCATTGGTTAGGAATGAAGGGGCACAGAGAGGTCTGTGCTCAGAGAATTGCCTCACTACCCTTGCAGAGAATGGAGAAAGTCCCAAATTCTCTGCTTTGAAATACTCTTCCATTTTCTAGCAAATTATTTCTGACCCCAACAGCCAAAATGTGAGAGCATGGGACAGAAGGTTGCTGAGATCGATAAGGTCAGGGGACAGCAATCCAAACTGCAAATCAGAAACCCCCATTTTATAGTGGCTGTTACGGGCTTGAGTGCGATACTGTTTAATTCTGGTGCTGGCTGGCAAGTGCCTGGTAGAAGCAAAGCAGCACAGGACCATGCTCTTAACAGCTGCATATTGCTATACAGGAAGACTTCTGCATCTCATATTCATGTGTGCTTTTTGGAGGCACTTTTCAAGAATTTCAGGACTTCGTTGGGTAAAGCCTAAGCAACTTGGTCTGAACACCTGCAGGAGTCTGGGCTAGAGATGTCCCAAGGTCCTTCCCAAGCTGAACTCTCCTATGATCCTAGGATGATTTCCTATCAAGAATATAGCATAATAAAGTTAGAATTTATTCACCTGGCCCCAAACAAAAGAAAATGGGAACAGTATATTTTCTAACACTTGGTGAAACAGAGTACTTGATCAACTGGCAGTGACATGAGATTATCATCAGTGGGTTTGTGAACTATCATGTTCCCAGTGTCTGGAAATAAGATTTCGTCAACAATGTCTCTTGCCTTTGTGGTTGCAAAAGCAACCTTTTGAAAAGACTAATGCAGGTATTTCAAATGGAATTTGCAGATAATCTGAAATAATAATGCATAATGATACCAAATGCTTCTAGTCATCTCTGTGGGATATTGGCAGTAAAACCCAATGATTGCAATTTGTATATAAACATTGTTAATTATTTAATATTACTCAAAGTTCACAAAAAGAGAGTCAGTTGTATTATCAATGTATATTCAATCTAATGTGACAGTTCGCTAGGCTAATGAAGGTAACGACTTTTACTCTGACAAGTGTTCAGGAGCATATTAATCTCAAACTATACATTGTAGCTATAGGAAATTAATCTCAAAACTGAATCAGCATGGATGGTGTTGTACAACCTTGTTGTACAACATCTATGGTGATTTTAATCTTTCACTTCAGGGACTACTGATCTTATAGACTTGCTCTTGAGGATTATAGAGTTGAACTCATGGTGCTTATTCGGTAGTTGAAAGGTCTGCTTAGCACCCTCTCCTCACCTCCGAGGCTCCTCTGTAAACTAGTCATGAAAAAGTTATTTCGGTACCTTCAAACTCTTCCACTCTCTAGCTCAAGAAGGTCATTCCATACAAACTCAAGTGCACTTGACCTGCTAAAGTAAGGACATCCTGAACTCATACAGCTTGTGTACAGCTTGTGTACACATACAGATGTGTAGATGTCATATTGCTTATTTTGAGGGGGAAAAAAAGTGTAAAAATAATGATTTTGAAGCATTTTCCTAAGGGCGACTGTAATCTGTATTTGTCCAGTGTGCCTATTGCACATCCTTTTGGGCAGTAATCATAGAATCCTTAAGGTAGGAAGGCATCTCTACAGGTCATCTAGTCCAACCCCCCTGCACACGCAGGGTCACCTAGAGCACGTGGCACAGGACTGCGTCCAAGCGGGTTTTGAAGATCTCCAGAGAAGGAGATTCCACAACCTCTCTGGGCAGCCTGTTCCAGTGCTCTGTCACCCTCACTGTCAAGAAACTTTTCCTCAAGTTCCTGTGGAACTTTTGGTGCTTCAGTTTGTGGCCATTACCTCTAGTTCTGTCGGTGGCCACCGCTGAAAAGAAGCTGGCCCCATCCCCTTCACTCCTTCCCTTGAGGTATTTATATACACTGATTAGATCCCCTCTCAGCCTTCTCTTCTTCAGGCTGAGCAATCCCAGCTCTCTCAGCCTTAATTCAGCATCCTCAGCTCTCAAGCTGTCCACTCTGGGCTCGCGAGGTGCATTATTTGCAATGAGCATAGCTGGGGCCTGCTCTATAATTTCGCATGCAGCCACAATCAGAGCCATTGGCTGGTTTGAAGTTTAAGACCAAGAACTTGGAAGTGGATGGGGAGCTAATAGACAGACTGATGTTCCTGCTATGTTCACAGAGGCTTAAACTGGTGAGAAAAGGGTTGGACACATCCATATTATTTTTGCCTTTTGCCGCAATTTGCAGCAATTCAGCTCAGCGATGACAAAGGAATGGCTCCCTGCCGGGAGGTCCCGCACCACAGAAAGTTGTAACACGTTTGTGATGAGATGGAGATAAGGAGACACTTTTAGCAATTACTCTGTGGCCTAGACAAATCCCAGGGATGTGCGTAGCAGAAGGCTAAATCTTTGCACCACCTACCACAACACAAATATCTCAGGACACTGAGAACATCCTCATGGTATAATACAAGCAGGTGGTGGTGGTAGGACAAAATGTCCTGAGCTCATCTTGGATCGATTTTTCCCTTACTGTATGTCAGAAACTTTTGTTATTAGTCAGTCACTAACAATGATTAATTACTAGGGATACAGCTGGTGTGCAATATATATTTGAGATCAATATCAGCAAAGACTGTGTGATCTTGGAAGTGTTTGGCTGTGGAACTGTCTCCCTGAAAAACGAGAAACCCAATTATTTTGCACGTGTGTTCACTGAAGAGCCCCAGATACATAGCTGGAATGTGAATGGGGATGAGAGACAGTGAAAAGCAGGGGACTGTTTGCCTTGAAATACAGTCCTAAACTGAGACTTAATGTTTTTTTCCACTTCTGTCTTTTATGAAACCTATAGCATATACAGATTCTTACAAATATACATATATACATACGTGTGCACATAAATATATAAATGCTCTAGAAGAAAGTGTTTTATTTCAGTTTTCCTTAAGGCATCAGGTGTTCTGTGATGTTAAGTGCTAATATAGGTAATATATATCCAGGTGTTGGAGTAACTGTGACAAAAACAAACAAACAAACAAAAATTTAAAGACTTAGTTCACTTAGAGCCTTTTTCAAAATGTGTGGCTAAGAATAAACCATTTACTTTCTCAAGTGTGTGCTCTACAGGACGGATCTCAGATACAAAAAATTAAAAGGTCAAAGAATTATAATGCATTTTCTGCATGTCTGTGTGAAAGCAAAGCTCATTATTATTTGCAGTGTCCTGTCCTTCTTAATTAAATCATCAGATCACAGGTACATTCTGGAGCATCTCAATTATAAAAGGTTATTTCCATCAATTTATTCCTGATTAGTTTATTAGTTACAGTCCTTGACACTTGATTCAAGTCATTACTCTTTCCTCGAGATAAAAGTGCTTGATTATTTTAAAAGTAATAGACCTTGATTTTAAATAAAAATATATTGTAAATATTTTTTTAAAAAAGCTTGTGCTAAACTTGACTTTGATGGAATTATGCTCTCTTACATCACAAAGAAGTCCTTGCTGGTGGCCATAGTCAAATTTCTGAATAGTTTCATTACTGCATCCCCATTCTGGTCATAAAATGATAGAAGAAATACTATGAACTGTAATTTTTTTAAGTTTTGAAGCAGTATTTTGAAAGCAGAGCTTCCATCCATGGTTTTCCAAATATTTTTAAATGAGGTCTCCGGTGGTTCTGTGGTATTTCTCCTTAAAAAAAACTTGTTGACAGATCTGCCATTTTGTGTCTATCCTGAGGGACAGACAAGACAACTTTTGGTGACCAACCTAATATACATCCCCTGCAGCTTCAGTGGCTAAGCTGTCTCTGGAGAGCCAGTGTAAGCCTGTGCATCCTTTTTATATATATATATGTACATCCAATATTTGGGTAGAGCATATTCCTTTGAAGTTGAGGCACTTGGGCAGTTTTGGGGAAGCGTTCTGCCCATTAGGGCTCCTGCCTGCCTCACACTAAATTTAGACCTGATCCTAAATTATTATCCTAAATAATACTAATGGAAGAAAAAAAACAAAAAAGGGACACGGACACGGACACGGACACGGACACACGGACACACGGACACACGGACACACGGACACACGGACACCGACACACACTTAAAGCTTGGGCAGGTGCTTTTCATTGCAGAAGCTGGCGCCGCGGGGTCACCAGCTCAGCCAGCAGCACGGGCGAGGGGAGGGGAAGGCGGGGCCGCCTCCGGCTCCTCCTCCGCGAGCAGCAGGTGGAAGCAGCGCTCGGCGGCGGCTGCCGGCGGGGGAGAGCGCGCCGGAGTAGCGCGTCCTGCTGCCGGCTGCGCTGTGCGAGGAGGGGGCTCCTCTCCCCGCCATGGCCTTCACCTTCGCCGCCTTCTGCTACATGCTGTCGCTGGTGCTCTGCGCCGCCCTCATCTTCTTCGCCATCTGGCATGTGAGTCCCCGCCGGGCAGCGGCTCGGGGCCGTTGGAAACCGTTGGAGCCACGAGGCGGCCGTTGGCGGCAGGACGGGGCGAGGGGAGGCGGAGCGGGGAGGGGTCGCGTCGTGCGCTGCGCCCTGGTGAGAGCTGGGCAGAGCTTATCCCGTGCTCTCCTGCACTGTTGTTGTTGTAATTTTCTAAAAGAGGTCTTACAAACGCAAAGACCGAGTAGAACTGTGACAGTTTGTTAATTTATTTTAATAAAATCTTGACCTCGCGTGCTTCTGGCATGTGCTGTCCCCCTGAATGCTGTCCCAGGCTTTTAAACGTGGAGAACTTCATGCTTGGCTCTCACCGAAATGCAACTGCTTGCATCTCCAGTATTAATGGTGCTAATTAATCTGTGAGGATCTGCTAATTAAGATGAGAGGAATGGCTTTTGTTGCCCTGGAACTGAGCATCCTGATGGAAGAGCCTTTGCAGTGCATGGTGAAGCCATCGGCCAGTTCTGCTTTCAATATTCACTATATTAATAACTTCTTAAAAGTCAAAGATTAATGTGAAACTTTCCCTGTAATACATGAGACATCCCCGTGAAACATGCCTGTAATGCATGAACTGGGTGTTCGTATCCATGAATTTCACTTAAAAAGTGAGATTGCTTATTTCCTACCACACACTGGGTCTAAGCATGTAGCTTAAAAGCTGTGTATTTCAGCAGTGGGAGTGTTACCCTTATGCATAAATGGAAATTCCTTTAAATGCTTAAATGTTTTGGAGTTATCTATGCAATATATGCTCTGTGGAATTACCGTTATGCTATAAACTTTTAGGATGAAACAGGATAACCTGAAAAAGAGAAGAAGTATTGTGAGTGCTTTCACAGGGCAAATATGTCTGATGGGGTAATGTAAAAGAGCTCCTTTGACTAACTGGCAAGGGGGATATGGAATTTAATTTCATTGAAGCAAGACAGTAATGAAGCTGGAGGCTTAGTTTTGTGTAAGCCTAATAGGTGTGTGAACGAAATCACAGTCTATGTGTTGCAAGAAATTGAATTGTTGTGAGCTGCTAATGATGCGCTTACAAGATTTTTCTTACTAATGAAACCACTGAAATATTATAGTAATATCATGGTACTGCAAGGGTGAAAAGGATTACTAGCAGTCAACTAAGTACTCTTCTGTTCTGAGGAGAAAAAAAAAAAAAGTGAATAATTCCTCATCTCTTCCCTCCTGACTCCCTTACCTTAACGACTCCAAAAAGTGAGGTTTCTACAACTTCCTTTAAGGGCTTATAGGGAAAAAGTGAATCTCTATTCTTAATCTCTTGCTATGTATTAAACTGTTACTTCCATAGTTATTGTCATCATTTTTATATTTTTTTGACATATTTGAAGTGTCTCAGCGGTAGTGTTCTTCCTGGCTAAATCGCTGTTGTCTAGACGTACAGTGCTTCTAGCAACTGTGGCAAATTATTCCTGTGTAAATCAGTGTAGTTACTGCAAGTTTCTTCTTAGTGAAGCAGTCTTCAATTTTCAGCCCAGAAACCTGTGGTTTTCAGGTTTGAAATCAAAAGTGGCTGAAAACACCATTCTGGTGTGATAGGGGAAGAATTGCAAATAAATAGATGATAATTCTATTGAAATATATGGTTTGTGAAGATCATAAAATAACCGATTTAACACCCTGCCAAAACAAACATTTGCACATACCCCATACAAACAAAACCCAGAAACTTTTATTATCCCTTCTGGAAGACTTAATATAGAGTATATTTTAGAACAAATTAGGAAGCACAGTCTAACATGTAGCTAATTTGTTCAGTCATAGAAGTTTCTTTTCTTTAAAAGATGTCATGTATTTTTTTTTTCCCAAAAAAAAAAAAAACTCCTAGTCCTCTCCTGTGACCTGGGTTGTTTTCACTGCAATGTGTTTTTAAGGGACAGTAGTATTTTAAATAGGCTTTTGGCATGGCAGTAGAAGATTTTATGAATTAAAAAAAAAAGGCAGTTTTACAGGAATATATAAGTATTTTGATTACTGCCAACAATAAATTGTTGATTAATCTAATCCCATCACTTTGAAAGACTCATTAGGTTCAGAGATTGAACCTGGATGTTATAAATTATTTTAAAGGGCCAGAATAAATTCTAGCATTTGGACATCATGTGGACTGAGATTTGGGCAGTTATCTGGAATGCTTTGATAATGGCTTAATAAAATATCATTTTAATCCTGCTGATGTCAAGTGGTTTATATAAGAGTAATAATTTTCATTAATATTGGTGTAACAGGTGCAACAAAAATGTGAAGCTAAAACAACAACAACAGAGTAAAATGAGGATTTCTATTTTGGGAAACTGTACTCTTCTGATGCCTTTTCTCTAGGTAGTTAAAGGTTCTCCAGACATTGTTATGCTTATAGTCTTACGGGGGCAGGTAGAATGAAGCTAGACAGAATTTTTAAAGGAATCGTAAAGAAAAAAATGAAATATCTTAAAATATCTTGGGCATGTAGCACACTTTTTTCCTGCCTCTGAGTGAAGTGCCTGTCTAGGTTTCTATTGTTGGCTGGCATGAGAAGAAATGAACAAATTGGATGATATTAACAGAAGCATTTAAGCCATACACAAGATTTATCTTAATGTATTCTTGCCGGGATTTCACTCATACATATTCAGTGAATGAAAAGTGCTAAGAAATCTAATTATTAATGTTCTTTATAATGTCAGTACTGGTCTCTGATGTATAGGAATCTCTTAAGCATTTAGGTTGTTCAATGACCACATTACTTCTATTTCGAAAGATGCAGTTTTGACAGCACTGTGTAGAACTGCAGACTTTTGTGCTGCTGCTGTTGTACAAAAGTATTGAGGATTTAGCAGAGAAAGGTGACCTTGGCCTTTCTATTTGGTTTCTTCTAAGAAGGCTGTGGAATTTAGTAAAGCCTTGCATTCCCATTATAAAATGGCATAGGCTGTTTTTTTTTTTTTTTAGGCTGTTGCTATTCAGAGTAAACTTTACAGATCACTGTGAATTAGCTCTTTCAAAATTCAGTAATATTTTTTCATCTGAGAACTAAAATATTTCTATGAGTTGATGAATTCCCTTAGGTATGTACTTTAGTAAATGTGACAACATTTGAAGCCACATTAGCTGAGTTCGCTAAATGAGTCTGTCTTTGAATGAAGCTAGCCAACAGCAAAATTTTAAGCTAACTTAATATTGATGGAGTGTGTGGGGGAAAAAATAGATTGTATAGAGATAACTTACTATAGTGCTGTTGAGTGTACAGTCCATGTAACTGCAAGATGTGATTGCAGAAATCTATTGCTTTACTAGCTAAAGTATCATTTAAATGCCTTTTGAGAAAGGGGTTCTCTCACAGCTGACCATATTTTGGTGAGGTTGTGTGATATTGCTAACAGCAGACTTTGTTCCATTGACTTGATAATTTTATATCCTGATCTGATTATGCCATAAGCTCAAGAACAGTGTATCCAGTTGTCTTTCCTGGACATTGCAGAGGCATCGTCTCGCCTTATCTAGCTCTTATTGTTCCGTATAAACAACATGTTAATGACAGAAATCAGTTTTATTTATCTAAACTAAGATTTAGGATTCTGTTCAGTTAAATGCTAACAATGTCACATCATGTTGGACTCGCAACAAGATTTTTGTATGCCACACTGCTGTCTGCTGTAGTTCTGTTGATTTCAATTAAACTATGCCTGGATTGAAGTTGATAGAAGATGACCAAATCATTTATTTTTAGTCACTTAAAATGTGACTTGCCTGTATGAAGTCCTGCCAATGTATAATCCTCTTTTAAAATATGTTGGTTTGGGGCAATGTGGATGTATATGAAAGAGAGGCTATTCCTTTCTGAAAAATTTAAGATCAATTTATCTGCTTTGAGACTTCTTGTTTTAAAGAAAGCTTTAAGAAAAGAGACTTGCAAATGTTCAATTTTACAAACCACAACAACAACAATCCATAAATATTAAGAACACTACTGTTTTAAAATAACTTCATGCAGTAGATTGTCTCTCTTTGAACTTTGAACCTCTCTGAACAGAGGTGGTATCATACCTCTGAGTGCGTGTTAATGCTTAATAACCAGCAGTACTAAAGGATAGAGGTATCGTACCAGTGAAAAATTTAGTAGTGCTTGCACAAGAATTTATACCAAATCAAGTAAGTATTTGGACTATTTTGCTGTAATTGTGAATATACATGAATATTGGACAGCTGTCTGGCATGTCAAGAATAGCATCCACTGCAATCAGTGCAGAGTACTTGGCCCCAACCTAAGAAGAAAAATACATCAATATGAAAATGTTGTGTGTTCTATGGTGGTGCTGGTGGTTGTTGCTGTTTTTCTTGTTTGTTTTGGGGTGCAAGGACAATACTGAACCTGATAAACTCCGGCCATATGACTTTGCCCAGAGTTTACAGTTACAAATTTGCAAGTGAAATATAGTGGAAGGCAATGATTAGATGCAGTAATGTAGACTAAAGTTGACTTCTTGGTTGCAAATTTAAGTAAGGATTTTTTTTTTTTTGAGAATATTAGGGCAGAAGGCTTGGGAATCTGTGTTTCGAGCTGTTTTTGCTATAGTCTTTGTGTATGATGTTTAGCGGGTACCTTAAATTCCCTATGCATTGCTTTTTCATTTATTAAGAGTGGATAGTAGAATTAAACTTCGTGTTGCATGTCATTTTATTTAACACTTACCTCTAAAATGGCTTTAGCTTCTGACAGAAGCTGCTCTGTCCGTACAAGAAGTGGCGTTGTTATTTTTCACTATTGCCTGGTTGATTTTGACTGTTTCTTATTAATACCCAATTTGTAGTAATTCAGGTAAGGGAAATTGAAAGCTATCTGAGACTTATATGCATGGAATTTAGTGAGTGTTCAGCATCTGATGCGCTTAAGCTGCCTTCTGAAATTCCTAGCCTAACTTTTGATAAGTTAGGCTTATTTTTAAACATAAAAGTACAGGGAGAGA